AAAGCAAAGCAAAGCAAAGCAAAGCAAAGCAAAGCAAAGCAAAGCAAAGCAACGCACGCAAGCAAGCAAGCACGCAAGCAAGCACGCAAGCACGCACGCACGCACGCCCGTCCGCCCGCCCGCACGCACGCACGCACGCAACGCCACGCACGCAACGCAACGCACGCAACGCAACGCAACGCAACGCGCGCAACGCACGCAACGCACGCAACGCAAGCAACGCAAGCACGCAAGCAACGCAAGCACCGCGAGCGCCGCAAGGCAATACAAAGCAACGCAAGCACCGCGAGCACCGCAAGGCAATACAAAGCAACGCAAGCACCGCAAGGCAAGGCAAGGCTGTCCTTTTTCCTTGTGATTCAGCATCGACTCTCTCGTCTCTTCGATCGTGTCCGCACAGGTTCCGTCGTCTGCCTCCGTAATCGTCAAGACACCAACACCTTCCAAACGTTCTCCTTCAGCTTTCATCTCGGATTCTGGTGACGTGCAAAACTCAACAACCACAAGACTCTTACACGAAACCTTTTCTAAGATCCAACACCACCTTCCGATCCAATCATATGGAATGTCAAACGTATTCAGAAAGCCTCGAACAACTCCGATCTTCTCCATGCGCTCGACAATGCTTTGGTCATCAGGTCGGCACAACTCTCTGTACCTCGAAAGAATGTGAAATGGAAATCACACCTTTGTAGACCGCATCCTGCAAGAAACAGATCCGAATATCAATGTGTCTCAACCTTCTTAACAACCCTGACATCTCAGTCACATTTCGGGCTGCCATTGAATCCGTAAGCAAGTTCGGTACTGCCAATTCTTCAACTTGACAACCAAAAACATGTGCTACAGCATGTTGGATGCCAAAAGTCTCTTTCGCTCCTACAAAGCATACAACTCTGCTTCGGCTAGGCTACTCTCCTGTAATCTCTGTAGGCCTTGATGCGAGGCACAGTGCACCGACAGCAGGAAGAGGTAATCTTCCTGCAAGCACAATTTATATATTCCAGCACTCCCCACGGAAAGAGGGAATGATCGCTGCAGATTGAGACTCAAGGCGTCCATAGTTGAGCACGGATAGCTCTGCACTGATGGCAACTGGCTTGACTGCTATCGAGATGCTCGGGGGAGTTGGTTGTCAAGCTTACGAAGGCAATGACCTGCAGAGGACTTAGGACAGGATGAACCAAGACAATCAGTCACCCACCTCGCCCTCCCCCCCCCCAGGGGGCGGAGGTGCCAATGATGCGCTCCATGACAGCGGCTCCAAAATAGCAATCGGGAGCAGCAATGACGAAGCGCCATGACCTTGCATTGTCCTCCAGGGAAACTGGCAGGCAGGACTCTGTTGACAAGCCTCCACGTGTTCAGCATCTCCTCCTTGAAATTTGAGTGCTCTTGGATTCATGACGACATGCAAGCCCCATGAACTACGTGAAACAGTGAAACGCCGCTTTGCCAGTCGATGAACCATGCACTGTACTCATCCAAGTCCACCTCTTGGGAGGCAGTCCTGGTGTCAGCATTTCGATTGGTGTGTGCTTTGATCAGGACCTGCAGCAGTTCTCTTCTGCACAGCTTCTCCTAAAGTCAGCCCATTCTTCTAGGCCGTCGGTCGGCTTAGGGAGGAGGCGGATCCATTTGGGGAGCGCCAGTTGTGCGCAAGATTCGAATGCATTGTGTTCTGCGTGAGTGCCTCTCCAGGTCTTTTTGCATCCCAATCTGACGAGCTTGCACACTGTGTGCAGCCACCAAAGGCTCGTCTGTCGATGTAGAGCAGGGTGGGTGGGATATGTAGCGCCTCCAAGAAGGCGCAATTGAGGAGGGCATGTCGCCCAATACGTCTTGCTGCTTTGGCCAGCAGCTGGGAGCAATGCGCGAAGATGCCACCGGCATCTCATTAATGTCAGTTTGTGAGATGTCAACTGCCTGCAACTTTGTGCAATGTTCACATGCCGCTGGACCCAACCAGTTGAAGTCTGCTGTTAAGACTAAT